GGCACCAATATGGGGGCGGGGGTATCAATATGGGGGCGGGGACACCAACATGGGGTCAAGGGCGTTGACATGGGGTTGGGGGCACCAGCATGAGGTCAAGGTCATCAACATGGGGTTGGGGGCATCAACATGGAGTCAAGGGCATCAACACAGGGTTGGGGACACCATCAAGAGGTCAAGGGCATCAACACAGCGTTGGAGGCATCAGCATGGGGTTGGGGGCAACAACATTGGGTCAGGTGCATCGACACGGGGTTGGGGGCATCGACACGGGGTTGAGGGCGTCGATGTGACGTTGGGGGCACCAACACGGGGGCGGGGGCACCAACATGAGGTCAAGGGCACCAACATGGGGTCAGGGACACCAACACGACATTGGGGGCACCAACATGGGGTCCAGGGCATCGACATGGGTTTGGAGGCATCGACACAGGGTTGGAGGCAACAGCATGAGGTCAAAGGCATTGACGCAGGGTTGGAGGCATCAAGGCAGGGTCGAGGGCATCACCATGACATCGGGGGCACCGACACGGGATTATGGGCAACAACGTGAGGTTGGGGCTCCCCCATCACTCCCCCCATTACCCTCAGCTCCCCCCCAACCCCTCTCACCCCCCAACGCCCCCAAATCTCCCAGAAAAGGGGCAGAGCCTGGAGAAAAGGCTTTAATGCGCAGTGGGTGTCGGGGAGGCGCAGCGGGGACCGAGGAGGAGCGGGGTGCCCCAGCCCGGGCCGGGGGGACCACCACAGGACTGGGAGGGGGCTTAGAAGCATTTTCGGTGGACGATGGAGGGTCCGGCCTCGTCGTACTCGGGTTTGCTGATCCACATCTGCTGGAAGGTGGAGAGGGACGCCAGGATGGAGCCACCGATCCACACTGAGTACTTCCGCTCCGGCGGGGCGATGATCTGCCGAGACATGAACCGTTAGGATGCACCCCTTGATCCCCACCCCAAACCTGCACCGGGAGAGGATTTGGGGCGTTGGTTGCCATGGTTTTCCCACCACCACCACCTACTTTGATCTTCATGGTGCTGGGAGCCAGCGCCGTGATTTCCTTCTGCATGCGGTCGGCGATGCCAGGGTACATGGTGGTGCCGCCGGACAACACGTTGTTGGCGTAGAGGTCCTTGCGGATGTCGATGTCGCACTTCATGATGGAGTTGTAGGTCGTCTCATGGATGCCGGCTGACTCCATGCCTGGGGTGGAAGGGGGCTGTCAGCACCCTGACCCCACCCATGCCTCCTCAGGGCCCCCCAAAAGAGCCATGGGGTCACCCATGGGTTTGTCCCCCCGTTTGGGGTGAAAAGAGCTTGGGGGAGCCCCGAAACGCCTCTGTGGGGCACCCATGGTAGCTGGTTGCCCGCTGGTAGGGTGGTAGGGATGGCGGGCAACCACCTAGGGGACAGCCAGGACAATTCGGGGTGGGCTCACCAATGAAGGAGGGTTGGAAGAGGGTCTCGGGACAGCGGAAACGCTCGTTCCCGATGGTGATGACCTGCCCGTCAGGGAGCTCGTAGCTCTTCTCCAGCGAGGAGGAGGAGGCGGCCGTGGCCATCTCGTTCTCAAAGTCAAGGGCCACGTAGCAGAGCTTCTCCTTGATGTCACGCACGATTTCCCTCTCGGCTGCAGGAGACGATGGCGAACAGGCTCAACCCGGAGCCGCAGCGGCACCACGGGGTCCCCCGTCACCCCGTACCTCCCTCCCCAACCCTGTACCGGTGGTGACAAAGGAGTAGCCCCTCTCGGTGAGGATCTTCATGAGGTAGTCGGTGAGGTCACGGCCGGCCAAGTCGAGACGCATGATGGCGTGGGGCAGAGCGTAGCCCTCATAGATGGGCACGTTGTGGGTGACGCCATCCCCGGAGTCGAGGACGATGCCTGGGAAGGGGGAAGGAAGGTGAGGGAGGGGGCTCGAAGCCAGCTTGATCCCTTCCCCATCACGGATGGTCCCCGGGCGGTGGATGCCGCGTGTCCTACTCACCGGTCGTGCGGCCGGAGGCGTAGAGGGAGAGGACGGCTTGGATGGCGACGTACATGGCGGGGACGTTAAAGGTTTCGAACATGATCTGGGAGGGAGGGCGAGAGGGGCAGCGGGTTAAGGGGGGGCATGGGGGTCCCCAGTGACATCCCACCCCAACGCACGGGGACTGTGCCTTCCCGGAGAGACAAGGTCAGTGCATTGCATGGAAAAATAGGTGGATCGTTGGCGTTGCATGGAAAAAAATAGGCGGATCATTGCATTGCACGGACATGCGGGTCAATGCATTGCACAGAGCCACACATGGATCGCTGCGTCGCACTGAAGAACACGTGGGCCAGCGCGTTGTGTGGAAAAAACGTGGGTCAATGCATCGCGTGGAAACGCGAGTCATGGCGTTGCACAGAAAATCACGTGGGTCTGTGCACTGCGTGGAAAAAACGTGGGTCAGCGCGTTGTGTGGCAAGCCCCGCGGGTCCACGTGCTGCAGAGAAACCCGCGGGTCCACGTGAGCACGCTGCCGCGAGCTCTGCCCTTATTAAAGCTTCACCCCGCTGCCCGCTCCTCCCCGCCGCGCCGGCCCCTCCTGGCTCGCGAGCCCCCCGAATCCTCCAGCCCTTCCTGCGGTTTCAGCGGGTCCGTCCCCATCCCCGGGGGTCCCGCAGCGCCTTACCTGGGTCATCTTCTCCCGGTTGGCCTTGGGGTTGAGGGGTGCCTCTGG